ACAATTTTCAATGCTATAGGCTTGTTAGTAAATATTGCATAAATATAATAACCGCATTATTTGCATAAGTGCTGTTTGCAATACGCGTATATGCATACAGAATCTCGTGACTAAAATTAACTCCGAACAAATAGTTAAATATTGATGTTCTTCAAATTAATAATTATTATGAAAGCATATCTTGACGAGTTGTCAAATATAATAATAATTCAACTTCTTGCAAAGTAGCATTTTTTTATTTTATTTAATTTAATAATGAAGAAACGACCAGGTCAATCTTTACCAAAAACTAATCAGCACGATTCCCAACTGATAATTTCGAAAAAAATTGTACCTGTCTGTTATTATAAAGAAACGCCTGTGTCGATCATAGCTCAAAACAAATCAATGCGAGTTCTTATCCATTTATTCAATTGATTTTACATTACTTAAATATGTACATCCGTTTGAGAATTCTACTACAATGAGTGCAGCACCTTACTACAACGAGTGTAGTAAATTTACTACATAGTGTGTAGACTCAATCTACTACAACGTGTGTAGTAAATCTACTACACCGTGTGTAGTAAATGTACTACAACGTGTGTGTAGTAAATCTACTACGTGTGAAGTACATAAATCCACTACAATAAGTGGTATGTAAATCTGCTGCAATGAGCGTAGTTCAAACAAAAAACTACTTAAACGAGTGTAGCAAAAAAATCTACTTCAATGAGGGTAGAAACCTACAAGTGTAGTAAGCCTACTACAACGTGTGTTGTCAATCTACTACAACGAGTGTAGTAAAACCTACTACAGCGTGTGTGAAGTAATGGTACGACATTGAGTTTGTTTGTAAAAATCTACTGCAATGAAAGTAGTAAACAAAAACTACTCTAAACAAGTGTAGCAAAAAACTTACTACATAGAGAGTAGAAAATCTACAACGAGTAAAGGTACTACAACGAGTGTAGTAACTACTTACAGCGCGTGTGAAAGTAAATGTACTATATTGAGTTTGTTTGTAAAAATTTACTGCAAAATAAACGTAGCAAACAAAAAACTACTAAAACGAATGTAGCAAAAAAAATCTACTACATGAGGGCAGAAATCTACGAGTGAAGTAAATGTAATACAGCGAATATAGTAGCTCTACTACAACGTGTATGTAAATTTACTGCAATGAGGTACTAGCAACCAAAAAACTACTAAACAAGTGTAGTAGCAAAAAAATCTACATTGAGGTAGAAAATGCGCAATGAGTAAAGGTACTACAACGAGTGTAGTAAACCTACTACAGCGCGTGTGAAGTAATGTACTACATTGAGTTTGTTGTAAAATCGACTGCAATGAACGTAGCAAACAAAAAACTACTAAAACGTAGTTTTAGTAGTGAAGCAAAAAAATTTACTACTTTGAGGGTATAAAATCTACGAGTGAAATAAATGTACTACGACGAATGTAGTAAACCTACTACAACGAGTGTAGTAAACCTACTACAGCGTGTGTGAAGTAAATGTACTACAATGAATGTGTATGTAAATCTACTGAAGGTACTACAGCGAGTGTAGTAAATCTACTACAAAGAGTGTGTATTTGCAAAAAAAACTACGTGTAGTAAAAAAAAGAGTGCGCGTAAGGATCACACGCGATTGAAGTAAAACTTTTAATATTGTATGAGTAGGCAATTAAGATAAAAATAAAAAAAACATCATATTTGAATTTTAAAATCATCTTTTAATAATCATATAACACAATAATAATAAGATCTCCTGAGCATCGGCACAGCTGTCCTACTGATTTAAGAGTTTGAATATGATGTGAAGCTTTCTTCCTAATTTTGTTACCTATCTTACCGGGAAATTCAAACCATAAACGTAGAAGTTCATCATTATGCCACGTTCTATGTACATAATTTTCCCACACAACCATTAGCTAAAGCATCACTTACCCAATATTAGTTGTTATTATGTAAAATTTATTCAGAACTAAAATTATTTCATACGGCAAAGCCCCGGTATCAATAACGATTTTTTTGAAACTGCTGACGAATGTATGATTGTTGATCTTCGCATGCAACCTACATAAATATCCGTGGCAGTAGTAGATATTATTTTGTCTTCAACGAGATTAAATATAAATTTATGAATTCCATGGCACATTTATTCTCTAAGAAAGTCTTATTCCATGAGGACATAATACAGCAACCTCTTCTTTTGTAAAAAAACGTGATTCAATTAATGGAGTGGATACTCGCGACATCAGCGCTTACGGCGTGTAGTGTTCAACTACACGTTGGCATTTCGTTGCATTTGTAACGGATTTACACCCGTGTCGCGCCTAAAAATTTTACACCCATATCGCGCCTAAGAAGTTTTACTTCAAAAACATGAGGTAATCACTACAATGAAGATAAAAAATCTACAATTAGAAAACCAATTTTCCGGAGAAAAACTTCAAAAAATTAAAAAATATACATTCTAGTAGTAATAAATAGTATATATTTCTTCGTCAAACCGGCTTCCGAATCTATCAAATGTGTCACAGTATACTAAAATAAATACCTCAACATGTGCTTACAACAAAGAATAGTAGCAATTCAGAACAATCTAATTTTGTAAAATAACACAAAATTTTAATAATCAACTAAATTGTCCATTAATTTTATCCGGTTCCACTTAAAAACAAATGAAACATCCATACATTTTATCTTTCATCAATTGTAAAAGTATTGAGTGTCGGTGAAGATTATTGACCTTTGAACTTTAAATTCTCTAGACTATTATAATAAAAAAATTTGGCAGTCGCTCATGTTTATTACAAAGCTAAATGCGTCGTCTTATCGTTTTGAAAGTCGTTATTTATATCTCACTAGCATGACAATCGAAAATCAAAAACGTAGAAATAGTAATAGCCAGATTTTAATTTAAAAAAATAGTAGTTTCTTAAGGCACTATAATTTTATATTACCACTTATAAAAATTAAATTGTAGTTTAAAATGATATATAGTTTACAATGAAATGAAGTATGAGTAATACTTTATGTAAGATAATTTTTTATAATTATCATTAAAAAAAGAAAAGAAAACTAGCTGCTTTTATAGCTGTATAGAAATTGACACCTAGCTATTAAATTAAAACTAGCTATATCAATAATTTCATATTTTCAACATATTCGAGATTAAATTTTATTCTTATATAGGAAAATATTAATGGTATTGTTATTCTTTTCATATCTGTATAATTTGGTGTTTGAATGTATTAATATCGTGATTTCCAACCCCTGGGGGTCTCCTCCTCGGAGGGGCACAAGACTATTCTACTGGAAGCGTACAGGTAAAATACTATTTTGGAAAATATACCAAAATGTTAAAATAATAATTTAAAAAAATATTATTTATTATTTATGTATACTTTTACATATTACGATAAATAAACTATAATATAAGTTGAGTATAAAATGAGACTGGTAGTAAAAATATGGAGGGCGCAACATTGTGCTTTTTAAAGAAACAGGGGGGCGCGGTCCTAAAAGGTTGGCAGCCACTGTGTTAATATAATATAGTTAGTAAAAAAAGAAAACTGGCTATATTTTACTGTTTCTATAGCTATAAAGAAATTAATACTAACTGTTAATTAAACATTAGCTAATTTGGTGTGTGAATATGTTAATACCCGTGGTTTCCAACCCCTGGGGATTCTCCTCCTCAGAGGGGCACAAGGCTATTCTAATGGGGGCGTACAGATTTTCAAATACTATTTCGGAAAATATACCAAAAATGTTTAAATTATATAAAAAAATAATAAATTATTATTAGGTATACTTGTACCTATTATATATTAATTTGTAGCATGATAAATAAATTATAATATCAGTTGATATGATAAATAATTATAAAATTGGTAGAAAAATTAAGCAGGGGCAACATTGTTTTTTTTTAAAAAAACATGGGGGGTGGTTCTAAAAAGTTGGCATATATTTACTGTTTTTATATCTATATAGAAATTAATAACAAACTCTTAGTTTAAAACTAGCTATAATTTTATAGCTTTAACAAATTAGATATTTTTTTATTAAAATTAAAAATTTTATTCTTATATAGTGAAATGTTGATGGAATTATTCTTTTTATATATGTATAAAGGTGTAGGTGTGTGTATGTGTTAATACAGTGGTTTCCAATCTGTGGGCACGGGGTTGAGGAGGGTATCGCGTTTTGAAAAGGTTAGAAACCACTGTGCTCATATACAATAATTGTTAGATTATATAAGAATTGTTATAACCATTGTTTAACCGAGATACAACATTTATGAACATATAATTTAATTAATAATAATTAAAACAATAATAATAAAACAGAATGTCATTTCGTTAAACATTTTGTAGTCTCACAAAGTAGTAATAAAATTATAAATGAATTTATTTTAATCTGTATCAACATGATAAGACAACTTGTATCTACATGTACTTAAAATAATTTTATTGTCTTTTTGATAAAAACTTGTTCTGGAATCACAAGTGTCAGCGAACTTTAACGAAGTGATTAATATGAAAAAAAAATTGTTTATTTTAATATTTAGACAAATTCAAGTAATGAAGGAATAAAATATACAAGAATAAATTAGGAAGTACAGAAAACTAGAAATACAGATTGAGGAGTTTCCAAGAAAATTGATTGCAATCATAATCCACAACAAAACTATGAACTCAATTAATAATATCAATCAAATTTGTTTAAAAAAAATTGTGTGTTTAATAAAATGTTCAAAAAATGCAGAAAATTACGGATTAAGGTAATATATTATAAATCTAATAATAATAATTATAGCATTAAATATCATACAACTGTTAATTATAAACACATTAATAGAATATATAAATGTAAGGTAGTGTAAAAAAAGATATAAAAGTAATTTTATATGAGCATCATATAAAATACAATATCTAACCTACATGTTAAGCGGTTTAATATTATTCTTATTCTTGTATAAATATTATGATTAAATATATATTATATTTACCAGGGTGCATAAAACATGATGAAATGGTTATTTTTTCCAACTCCCTCTTGAAAGTTCTCTTTCGTATATTGGAATGTGTAAGGGCTTTCCTCATGTCCCGTACAAAACGTAACAAAACACAGGCCGAAAAGTATAATTAAGTTCATTTTGTTATCTTTAAAAACTATTTAAACAAACAAAACACTATGGTAATAGATACAGAATACTCTATTAATTAACACAGTATCACGACTAGAAACCAACACGGTTAAACGTTTTCTAACCTAATGTCCATACACTACTGTTCATTTGTCGAGTGTCATGATTTTGACACTTGACACATCGACGCGTTCTTCGGTCAGCAGACAAGTTCACTCCTAGCGGATTTGTCGCGAAACACAATGACAGATTTATGAATTGTTTTGTTGGTGACAACTGACATATGAAGTTGTTTACTGTCAAATTGACAGTTCGATTTGTTTCAAATTGTGCTTATTCGTGTTGCAAATGTTTATTTTTTTTTAATTTTTATTATTAATTATTTGTGTTGCAATATTTTTAGTTTTAAAAACATGTATTTTATTGAATAAGTTGAATTACAGTATATGAGTGGTATATATGAGTTTATTACCTAAGAGTATTATACTGTCACAATAACATATAAATATTGCAATACATTTTATCTTAATCAGCATAATATATAACATATGTGAAAAAAAGGAAAAAGATCACGAATTTCCCGAAAAAGACCACATGTCAATAATTAGGAAAGTTATTAGATTTTATCAGAATACTTTTGATAAGAAGATTTACAAAACATTGTATCCGTTCATAAAGAAATAATATGTTCTAGTCCAGTCATTTAAGCTTAAATTAGGTAAGAATCTCGGAATTCGAAATACCCAGCTGTAAGTCTGTAAATACTAGTATATTGACATCTTCAAGTTGTCTCAAAACCTAAATATGGTAGGTAGACTTACAGCTGGGTATCTCGAATTTTTGAGGTGAACTCACTATAATGACTGGACTATTTCAAATGCTGCTAAGAATTGATCAGGATATAGTTCCATGCCAAACTATACCCTGATTGACCCTATGATTTGGTTTGCCATACCAAACTATTTCTAATGTATATTGGCCAAGGGCTTGGATGTTACTATTGGGGTGATCTGTAAAAGTGCCCGTGAGCTTCTTCATTTGTGTTGCAAATGTTAATTATTTTCAATTTCGATTGGATTTTTCTTAAAGAAGAATATTCTTATAAGAAGAATAAGAATAATAATATTTCATATTGAATATATATTTGCTGAGACTCATATTAGGTTTTTGAGCTTCAAGTATTTTTATGTTTCATGAAAGTGGAATACATGTAATTTTGTCCTTGTCCGGTAAATCCTTCAGCAGAAGAATTTTCAATGCAATAATATACTAACTGCCTGTGCATTTTTAATCTTGTAACATTATATTTTATCAAAATTAATTCTGAACTTTATTACATGTCGACCTCTTCAAACTTTACAATCAGACCTAAACTTGTCCAAGTGAAGACAAAGCTCTTCCAAGCTATGTCTTTCAACTTTTATAACCTTTTTGCACATGAATTTTGTGTATTAATGATCATAGCTTATCTTCAAATGACTATAACTATGTCAAGGAAACCCAGGACTTCATCAAATCGTATCAAATTTGGAATAAAAATCCTATGTCAAAACACCTCACCTACGCAAAGTCACTACTGCCATTTAATCAAACGAATGATATATGATAAGTTGTTGAAATACAAAGCATTTATATATATATATATATATAGTAAATACAATTGTTAATTGTATATTTATATTTCTAATTTGCGTCTTCATTATCAACCTGATAGTTAACTTCAGATTACAAATAATATACCCCCTATTGAAAGTTAATAAAAAAATAAAATTATTTGTTTCTATTTCATGCTTTTACTTTATTCTGTCCAGCAATTTAGCTTACATTCATACAATATCAATAATTGGTATACACCTATATAATTATCCTAATATATTTCTTACGATAATAATTTACATTATAATATTCGATACATATATGTCACATATAATATCTTTTTATGTATATCCATGAAAGAGAATACTTCATATAAAGTCAACATGACTCGATAATTAATTCACTGGTCCAATTAAAGTTGTGCAATTATTGAAAACAATTAAAACGACATGATTATGCTTATTATTTTGCTTAACTTCGCAAGCTTTGTCGTCAAAGATTAGACAACTCAAATTGAATGTACTGAATTTATAATAATGTATAATATTTTAATAAAAATGACGATGAGTAGCTAATCTCATTTTTACTTTTTATAGAAAATAATTTCTGCCAAGACTTTTTGTAATTGAATACTTTAAGCAGAGAATTAAAAATATATGGCAAATATTAACAATAAAATAATTTTTTATGATCTTTATAATTTTAACATAAAAAATGTTAATAAATATGACACAGATTACTAAACCTAAGAATTAACGCGAATTTACATGAAATGAGACTATAAATATTGATAGAATTATTTTTATAAAAAAAATTAACTTAGAGCGACTGGCAGTGTCAATCTCATTTTGTACAGTGATGGATAGATATTCTACTGTTTCCAGTAGGTCTAATGATAAAAATTCAAATAAAAATACAGCACTGAGAAATTGGTTAAGGTCACAATGCACTGAAACCACATGTTCGTATCTGCAGACCCGATTTATCCAAAGGGGTTTAACTCGATTTCAGATCTAAACCTTATTTAGGGTTTTAAATCATATCCGTGCACTTCAATGCTAACACAATCACATTAAGTCACTTGCACATACAGTCCTCTTGAATAAATGCATGTTCCACAAGTTGTGCCTCCTGAATGACCCATAACTTTTCGGTGCTGAAAATAAATATTAATTAATTTCAACGATTTATGATTTTATCATTTTGGTTGATAAATTCAAACTGTTCCTTACAGTGGGTCTGCGTTCTAAGCACGACTGGGGTGCATTATTTGAATGCAGTTGGTTCCATGAACTCTGGGAGTGTATCCTAAAATCTGTCCCTGACAAATCTATGGCAAACCACCCTTGAGTACAGGATGGTCCATTTAAAGTGCAGTCTCCTGCATTTGCAAAAGGCAGTGCTTCTCCTCCATGTTGTTCAGTGAAACGTGTATCATTCACTGAATAAGAAAAATAATCATATTCCTTATTGTTTATGAAAATTTGTCATAACACAAAATTCTAAGAAACCTCTTCTCTTACCTATAATTTGCAATGATGTGATATTTAATCTCACTTTTCCAAAGAATGTTGTACTTCTTCGAGCTCCTCGTTCATCACACTCTTTGCATTCATGAGATCCTTTCATGCACTCTAAAGTATATCTAAAATAAATAAACTAGGCGTAAGTGGCATTTTACATAAAAGAAAGTTGCATGAACTTCTCAATATAGGTAAATAATAGACATAATTAATAAAAATTGAAACGTCTTTCAGATAAGTTCATAATACGAATACGAGCTTAGAACATACATGGTGTATGTTATGAAAGCATAGCCAATTATACCAATGTTTAATGATATTTTATAATTAAACTACTTTTCGTAGATCTATAGGATTTTAGTATTTTTGGCGAAAACGTGGATGATTTTTTTTCACTTGTCTGCTAATCATAGAAATGGCTTTACCGGTCGTCAAAGAACTAATCCCTTTAAACTTTGTTACCTTCGTTTGTCGACGAAATCCGATCTATTTTCCTGATATCCAGCAGGCAGTGATATATATTCTAATGGATTTGCAGTTTTCATTCCTGAACAGTATACATTGGCAGTTTTCCCATTAACAATAAGCGTGTATTCACCATCTTCTGAAGCACGAACTTCTTTGCATCTTGTAGCAATGCCTATACAATTAATTCAATTAATGAATATTTAAATCTAATATAAAAAAAAAGATTTTGGATCAAACTTACATTTTTTTCTTCTGTTGCAATTTTTCTCTGCATTTGGCTTTCTCATCTTTGAACAAAAATGTTCATCATATTCTTTCGTCCCACCATTTAATGAACAGTAAACGTGCCTCTTCTTTCTTCCTTTGCGTCCACATGTGTGTGAGCACTATAGCCAAATCAAATTAAAATCAATAATACATAAATTCAATAAGTTGACCGCTATATAATTACCTTTTGCCATGCTTTAGTAACCCAATGATAGCTACAAACAGGGTCGCAAGTTCTTACACTAGATGGCCGAGGGAAAATATTGCAGTATTGTGTAGATGGTGATTCTGTACCTCTCCAATATTGTAAAGGATGTCTATTGGGTCGACTACAAAATAATAATTTTAATAATTATTATTAGTTTCTAGAAAATGATAACAACAAACAATAGCACTCTTACCTAATTCTTTGTCTAATATTTTCTACACAAGTAACATTTCTAACTTGATGGCCGGGTTCACCACATTTGCCAATGCACTGTAAATATAAAGTTATTTTGTAATTATATTGATAGATTGTGTAAGGGTTACTTCCAACTTTAAATTTTGGTCATTATTGGTAAGGTACAATAACCATGTGTACCAAGTTTCATCAAAATCGCAAAATGCGTTTTTGAGAACATACCATATGTTAATATATTAGTATTTAGCTTGGAGCCAGCGATACATCAACCTATTTCGAAAACTATTAAATGTACCAACTTTAAATTTTGATCTCATTTTAGATAAGGTACAATAACAATGTATGCCAAGTTTCATCAAAATCGCAAAATGCGTTTTTGAGAACTTACCATCTGTTAATATGTTAGTATTTAGCTCGGAGCCAGCGATCCATCAACCTATCTCGAAAACTATTAAATGTACCAACTTTAAATTTTGGTCTCATTTTAGATAAGGTACAATAACAATGTATGCCAAGTTTCATCAAAATCGCAAAATCTGTTTTTGAGAACATACCATCTGTTTTTATATTAGTATTTAGAGCGGAGCCAGCGATCCATCAACCACGCATATCTCGAAAACTATTAAACGTACCATCTTTAAATTTTGGGCTCATTTTACGTGAGGTACATTAACAATGTGTGCCAAGTTTCATCAAAATCGCAAAATGTGTTTTTGAGAACATACCATCTGTTTATATATTAGTATTTAGCGCGGAGCAAGCGATCCATCAACCACGCATATCTCGAAAACTATTGAATGTTTTTTAGTATAAGAACTTAATATAAACTCATTTGGCTTATTGATAATTTTCATGAGTTTAAACAGATGGAAGATGTATGGTGGAATCCTGATTTCGTTATTTGAATA